CTGCCTGCTGGCATGCTACGAACGCAGCGGACCAGTTGCGTGCCGGCTTTTTAGATCTTCAAGAGAGAATCGAGCAGCCTCAAACGAGGTCCCCTTTGTTGCGTCCTTGATCGTCGTAGCGAACGAAGCTGAAGTAGACAAAGACGACGAGGAAGATAGGAATCAGGATGACAAAGAAGGGAGTCACCACGTACGCAACGCCCAGAATGGCGACCAGAAAAACACACCACAGCCACCAGGTATCTCGCCAAAGACCTCGAATAGGGCCCATCTGATTTACTCCGCCTCGTATCGATAGAAGTTGCCTGAATCTATGGCAATTCTACGCGAAATATGCGCGAAACGTACAACGATAATGACGCACCCCAAAGAGGGGGCTAGCGAGTAAGATTGAACGGGAAGGAGTTATTTCCCCCCGTAATGACGGTCGCGCGAAGGGAGGTCGATTCCAAGTCGCCATACTCCGCCGGCAACAGCTGAACGGTCTCGGACTGCGGAGGTAACGTAGGATGCTCACTAGGTTTTGTGATCGTTTGCTCGCTTTTCTTAACCGTTACGACGTAGCGTCCTTCTGGAGCACCATCTTCGGGATCATAGGTCGTAAGCGAGAATTCACCATTGTCGTTCGTCTTGCCATACGACGTAATTCGCAGCTTTTTGCAGAAGAACATAACCGTCGCGTTGGCGACAGGTTCGTTATCAAGGGTGATGACTCCTTGAACTGGAATCGTTGGAGAGCGACCAGGAATCGTACTGGGACTTCCGGAGTAGCAGCCTAACGAAGGGAGCCCCAAAAGCAGTCCGAGAAGTAACAGATACCGAGTCATCCTTATTCGCTTCCTGGTGTGTATTCGCCGCCGCTCTTGCTGCCCATCGAGCCCCAGACACCGTAAGGACTTGGGCCTGACGCAACAGGTTCAGCCCCTTGGTTGCCGGCATCGATCGTTTCCGTGATAAACCGAACGGAACCATCCGCGAACGTAGCCATGACACCGCCAGGGTGGTAGCTCGAAGCCGTATAAAAACCGTCCTGAGCATCATGATTTGCGAAAGCACATTGAGGGCGATTGGGGGGAAGGCAGGTATTCATTGCACTGAATGCTGAACCACCATCGGTCCAACGGTTGCCTGGCGCACTGACCGCATGTTCGTAGCCACTGAACGGATCGAATGTCAACGCACACTCCGCTGGCGTCGCAGGATCGCTGCCATAGTTTACATTGAAAATATCGCGGCTACTCGTGGGCAAGCCATGTTCCGAGAGTGCCAACGTATTGCTTGTACCGTCGGTGATGTCGGAAATCTTAGTGTGTTTGACCAGCCCGAAAATGCCTCGCGGATCGAGCGATTCCGTATCGGTCGAGTCGCCTGCACAGAAGGTGTAGNNGACATATGTGGGGGACTGGAAGGGCAAAGCAGCGAGGAAATGCTGGTTTGCCATGGCTGCCAATCATCCCAAGGCGTCTTCGACTGGCCGTTGGATTGAACTTCGTTGGCAACCGCGTTTTGTTCTAAATAAGGAAGCAAAGCAACAAAGCCCGAAAGCCGTTGGTAAGGGGCAATCGTTCCGCCGTTATGTTGGTGCCGGCCATGTCCCCCTTCGCGGTAAGGAAAAACCAAATGCGTGTCG